ATTTATTTAATAAGTTAATATAAAAATATTTTGTAAAGTTAATATATATAAAATATTATGAATTTAAGTTAAGTATTTATATAAAAAAAATATTTTTTAAAGTTAATATATAGATTATGCCACTTGGTGTAATTTGATTGAAGAATTAAATTTATTTTAATTTATTAAAAGTGTGATTAAATTGAGAGAATATATAAATATCAGGAACTGAATGTGTAATTATATTAAAATATTACGTCACCTAATCTGTTAATTGTTAAGGGAAGTTAGCCTGTGGTGACTACATCTTAATTAAATAAAAACGAAAGTGATCATAACTTAATTAAATAAAAACGAAAGTGATCATATATTATATTTTTAAATCAGTGAAAAAAATAGATAAAACACAAATATAAGTGATCAATCATGTAGTTAACCTTTATTTCTTTAATGTTTTGGGGACATTTTGATGGCAGACAGTTTTTCTTCTGTTTAATAAATGTAGAAATCGGCGTTTCAGTTTATATATATATATATATATATATATATATATATATATATATATATATATAATTTTGAAGATGTGAAATTAAGTAGTAATAATAAAAAATATAAAAATATATTTAAATTATATAAAATAATTTATTTATTTTTTTAAAAAATATTACTTTTAACATCTTTTGGTCTGTCCCTGCATGCATATAATGTTAATGGAATTCATAATAGAGGTCTTCTACGGAAGTTGCTCTCAACCTGGTGTTAGGGGTAGCTTATTACCCTACTTCCCTCTTACCCCATTACATATGGGAATAGGGTCAGCTAATTGATATATACTAAAAGGACGATATAAAATCCAGTCTTAAATTTATATTTAATATACAAGTACAATTGGGTTCATTAAATCTCTTAATTCAGTCTAATTTTCTTTAACATACAAGTACAAGTGCATGCATATAAATTTCAGTATTAGATAGACAATTACAACTGCATACATATAAAATTCAGTCTTAAATTCATATTTACTATACAAATAAAACTGCATGCATATTTAATATATGAGTATTTGAACTCGAGTGGATTCAGTGATTAAGGGAATATTATTATCTCTTGAGATCTTAGGTTCGACCAGTTACGTTTATAGGGTGATTGCGCATGCATTATTAATGATTAGGAAAGATTTTGAATAAATACTACTCTTATAATCACCTCAGACTATTCAAATATATATATATACAAGTACAACCAAGGGCGAAGATTAACTTCGTTCTGGGGCATTGCCCTATATTTTTTTAATAATAAAAAAATATATGGATAAATTTTAGATTAGAACTCCTAATTTTATTTTATATTAATTTTGCTTCCCATATTTCTATGATTAATTATATTTTCTCCTTCATTCTCTATGGTTGATTATACTTTACTCTCTTGAGTTGGAATCAAGACTTTGTCCCCAAATACAATTGCATGCATATAAAATTCAATCTAAAATATAGTTTTAGATCTCTTATTTTTCTTTTATATAATTCATTAAAATTTGAACCCATCAAGTGATATTAGCAGTAAAAGAGAATGTCGTTCTACATAAAAGTCATGAGTTTGAGTATTTACGTTTACACGAAATGTACGTTATCAATTAATTACAAAAATTTGGTTTATAATCTAATTTTAAATCTCTTAATTCAATTTATTCACTCAGAAACAAAAAATTGCTCATGCAATATTATATTTACAAAGTGATGTCAACGAAATGGAGTTTGGATTTGTATGCTACATGCACCTCGTTTACCTCTTTGCTACTTATGAACGTATCCCCTCACACACAAAAAATTAATAAAAGGGGAAAATGTAGCAATTAAAAACATTTTCTCCATTTCTTTATCAAACAATTTCCTAAAACTTGAATTCTTATTTGTTTACAAGTGTAACGTCTCAAAATGCGGGTTAATAGCTTAAATTGATTCCGTTCAAACGAAGGGTCTTCATTTTATTCTTTCTAAAATTCAAGGATTAAATTGAAAGAATAATCAAAGTTAATGGTGAAATCAGATAAAGACTGAAAATTAAGGATCCAATTCGTAAACCCTAGCAAACCTTGGGGACCTGCACCTTAATTAACTTTTATATATTGTTTTGCCCCAGAAACTTAGCCATCTCATGTGTTACTGTCTTTGTTGACAATCTGACTTTAAAAATTCATTAGAAATGGTTCGGAAGTTTACCCCTTTTTTCTATAAGAACATATATTTTTATATATTATAAGAGAATAATTGTTTAAAATTTTCTTACCTTATAAACAACACATATACATCATGTAAATGTCGTTGCTTGAACACAGAACCTCTAAAAAGATTAACATTTTTTTTACCACTTATACGATTTGATAGGTTCATTAAAATCAACTTTGACCACCAAAGGGAAGCATTATTTTGTAGCACGTAAATAGATGAACCCTATCTTGAAACTTTTGTAAACTTAAAATATATGTGTGTGTGAGAGGGATAGATTTAGGATCTAAATGCAAGGGTTGAGGTTTACATATTAAGATTTAGAGTTTAGGGTTAACAGTAGAATGTATATATATATATATATATATATATATATATATATATATATATATATAAGGATTCAGATTTTAGGGCCGAGGTTTACATATTAAGATTAAGAGTTTGGTACCTTAATTTTTATTTTTATTGTGGTCTTTCAATTATTTTGTGTTTAAATTAATACCTAATGTTATGTTTTATTTTCATTTTAGTCACTCATCATTAAAAATTAACAGAATTACTGACGTAACATTTAAAAAAATCAATGATGGTATGTTAACAAAACTGTTAATTTTTTAACGGTATGTGATAAAAAAAATCAAAATGTAATGTTATATATTTTTTGAAACAAAAATAGTTAGGTAGCCAAATGGAACAAAAGTGATAATTGAGTTGCTAAATGTGAATTTACCCTTTCTTTTTGCTTTTCTAGTTCGTGCACGGTTAAAAGAAATTCTAGTACGTGCATGGTTCCTTTTACATCTCTATTTCGCTAAACTTTGAAAAATGGCTTTGTCTTTAGTGATAAGGAGGTTGGTAAAATATTTGAATTAACTATATATAATGAATTCATAAGAAAAGATAGGTGATGATGAAAATTGAATCTTAATGGTAATAAGTAATCAAATAGTGTTTTAATTGGTAATGTCAATCTAAATAGGACAAATAAATAAGAAACTTATAATAAAGTTTATTATATATATATATATATATCGACACGGATTAGTTGAATTGACAATTAACTTAATATTACTTAAGTAAGGTATTGAGTTCAAATTTTGTAAATACAAAAAATCCCTGTTGGGAGTCTTTGTATAAGTCTAGAGTGAACGTTGGACACTAAAATATATTACTAAATAAAATATTTTTATTACGAAAATATTAAAAATTTCAAGAACCTCTTCATGATTAATCTTTTATAAAAGTTTAATTTTAATTCTAATATGATCATACTTAGATCACGGATGAACTAAATTACATCAGCGGTTAAAAGATTGTTATTATCTATTGAGATCTCAGATTTGAACACTACGTATATTAGGGATATGAACTTTTTTTTATTACTTTTATACAATCTTTATCTCTTTCTAATTGGAGGGATTTTTTAACGAGGCATAGAGTGATTTGACATGATCATGTTCCTTCAATAATAAATAGACATTGACGAGCAAAAACAAAGGATATCACATTATATTCACCTAATTTTATATAAAAAAAATATAATTGTATCGTATATTTTTAAATTAAAAATCATGATAAATATAATATTTAATTTTGCTATAAAATTCAAGGAAAAAATACTTTAAAATAAACTAAAAACCATTACAGCTTCTCACATCCCCGATTGTAACAATGTTAGAAGTCTACTGCCGCCGGCCCTTTACTTACCGGAAAATCCCTTAATTTATTGTTACAATTTAACTTTGATATATATAATCTTCGATATATAAATGCAAATCTAAACCGACGTAATAAACTTATTATCAGTGAAAGTGAACAGTTGGTTATTGTAAATTTGTCGAATAAAACCATTTCTATCTGGACAAACCGGAAAACCGTGGAATATAGAAAATATCAGTGAAAATGGAGAGTGGGTTATTGCAGATCCCTTCAAGCCAGGAAAAGATGGCTGACGATCATTCAAGTTTACTATAGTGTTTGGTGCAGATGCTACTCTTAAGACAGGTACATGTATATTAATAATATAATTTTTTCGTATGGAATGGACGCAAATAAAAATTTTAGAGTGGACACCTTTAATAAAATGAACTATTATCATAAAAAAATTGAATTTCAAAGTAGACAAATATTCACCCTGAACAAAACTTACATCTGTATAGTACATGTGTCGAAACGTTCCAAAAAATGATAATCAAGGTCCACTCCAATTAAATTGGTGTTGCACTGAAAATTTGAGAAACAAAAATATTCGATGAGTCATCGCTAATCTTTATTTGAGGTGTGATTGAATTAATAAAAAAATATTTTATTATTTTAGTAAATTTTGAAACAAAAAAAATATTGTTTTACATAAATAACAAGACAATAGAACTTATTAAGCGACTGTAATAGTAAAATGGAGTATTATTTTTACTAAAAGTCCCGAATTCAAGCAACTATGTTTATATAGTGTGACACGAACCAAGCGACCTTAGTGGCTGAAAGGATGATTGTTATCTCTAGAGGTCTCAGGTTCAAACACAAACGACAACAGAGTATTTAAGCGTTTATTGTCAAATGATTAAGAATATTTAGAATAAATATTATCACTTATAATCAATTTAAATTAAACAAAAAAAAAATTATGTGGTGTATTTTGTTAATAGTTAAAATACACGTGAACAAATATTATCTTGTTGCAAAATAACAACTTGACTCTTTCTTTCTCCATATATAACCTTGAAGTGTACAAATATTATGGCCAGGCCACCACTCTTAAACTTGCGTCGTCTTCGAACTGAATCTGAAAGTTTGTTGATTATGGGTAGAATCGAATCTGATATGCCACAGAATTCCCATTTCAATCCCTTAAACCCTGAGGAATTCAGAAAGCAAGCCCATGAAATGGTGGATTTCATTGCTGATTATTTTCAGAATATCGAGAGCTACCCAGTTTTAAGCCAGGTTCAACCAGGGTATCTCCGGGCCAACTTGCCAGAGAACGCACCAGAACGTCCGGAACCCTTTGAAACGATCTTGAAAGATGTTCAAAACCAGATTATCCCTGGAATGACTCATTGGCTGAGCCCTAATTTCTTTGCATTTTTCCCTTCAACTGTTAGCACAGCCGGTTTCCTCGGTGAAATGCTTTGCACTTGCTTTAACTCTGTCGGGTTTAACTGGTTAGCTTCACCGGCGGCGACGGAGCTCGAAATGACGGTCATGGACTGGTTGGCGGACATGCTGAAGCTGCCCGAGTCGTTCATGTTTCAAGGCACTGGCGGCGGCATTATCCATAACACCACCAGCGAAGCTGTCATCGTTACGCTCATTGCAGCTAGGGACAAAGCTCTTGACCTCATCGGCTCCGACGACGTCAACAAGCTCGTCGTTTATGCTTCCGACCAAACACATTCGACGTTCGCTAAAGCGTGTAAGATTGTCGGCATTCCACCTACGAACATAAGGTTGATTCCGACGACACTCGCCGGTGGCTTCTCTTTATCACCTTCTGAACTCCGGATGGCTGTCGAAACTGACGTGGCATCCGGTTTGGTCCCGGTTTATCTTTGTTTGAATCTCGGGACGACTTCAACTACGGCGATCGATCCGATAGAGCCACTGGCTTGCGTGGCGAAGGAGCACGGAATGTGGGTACACGTGGATGCTGCCTACGCGGGGAGTGCTTGTATATGCCCCGAGTTCCGGCATCACTTGAACGGGATTGAGCTAGTTGACTCGCTGAGTTTGAGTCCCCACAAGTGGCTACTCACTTTCCTAGATTGTTGCTGCTTGTGGGTCCAAAACCCGAACTCGCTCGTCAAAGCACTTAGCACCAACCCCGAATACTTGAGAAACAAACAGAGCGAATCGGATTCCGTCGTCGATTTCAAGGACTGGCAACTTGGTACCGGCCGCCGGTTTAAATCGTTAAGGTTATGGCTCATTTTCCGATCCTACGGCGTCGTCAACCTGCAAACTCATATCCGATCCGACGTACGGATGGCCAAAATGTTCGAAGGGCTCGTAAGATCCGACCCGAGATTCGAAATCGTGGTCCCGAGGGAGTTCGGGCTGGTGTGTTTCCGGTTTTACCCGGGTGAAAATTGCGGGTCCGAATACTCCAAGATGTTGAACCGGAAGCTATTGGATTGGGTCAACTCTACGGGTCGGGTTTATATGACCCATACGAAAGTCGGTGGGGTATACGTATTGAGGTTTGCGGTAGGGGCTACGTTGACAGATGATCGCCACGTGGCTGCTGCTTGGGAGCTTATCAAGGAAGGAGCTGATGCGTTGCTGAAGACCATTTGATTGCGTGTCTTTTATTGATTTGGAAAATAATTTCACGAATTATAAAATTAAGGGTATAGTACACAAATAGTCTCCTAATTATAAGGTGATTTGTTGAGTCTTTTTATTATTAAAAGTTTTAAAATGGTACTTTGATTATAGTGTGTTATTTTATTGAGTCTTACGACTATTAAATGTTACAAAATGATCACTCGACTATTTAGTATGTTCTAAACTCGTCCTTTTTTGTTAAAAACTGAAATCAATCTGAGTTGGATGTGAACCTATTGACTGAGATATGATAAAATTTAATCTCATAATCTAAAAAAACTATCATATCTCAGTCAACATGTTAACATCCAACTTAAACTGTTGTCAAATTTTTAACGTAAAAGGTAAGTTTAGGACATACTAAATAGTTGGGTGATTATTTTTTAACTTTTAATAGTCGGAAACTCAACAAATCAACACTATATAGTTGAGGGATTATTTTATAATTTTTAATAGTCGAGAAATTCAAAAAATAAATCATCATATAGTTGGGGGACTATTTGTGTACTTTATCCAAAATTAAATAAACTAAAGTTTGTGCACCCAAATTAGTAGGTATGTATATGTAGTGAAAATAACTTTCGCGAAATTTCATTAAATGTTATAAATAAAAAATAATTCTATTTAAACATTATTTTTTATAAAAATAATTATACTGCCATCAACACGCATGAAAAATATCATTTTAGCTTTGATATTTCAATCTCAAAAGTATCATTATGTGCGTCAATCGTTGCTGAAATCATCATATTCTTTATCTAAATTAAAGTTTTTTTATTTATTTTTCTTATCGTCAAAAAATATATATTTTTAACATCTTTTGTATTTATTCTAAGGGTAAATTATACATATCATCATTAAACTTTATTTTTTCTCCTATTTAACTCACCGTACTTTTAATTTTTCAATTTTTTCACTGAACTTTATACATTGAAAAAATTTGGTCACTGTCGTTATCTCTCTAATGTCATTAACGCCGACCATCGTCGACCACCGCAGATGGTGGTCGTTTGGTCTCAAATTTCACGAGTCTCTTCACCTCGACCCCCTGAGTCCGAATCTAGTGGTTATTTTGTCGAAAAATATCCCAAATCCCGTGAATATGGATTGAAACGTTTCAACTTCCTCACTTTCTATCTCAAAATCGTGGACTTCGGAGCAAGTTTCGATAAAATAAAAGTCGGGTTCGAACTCACGGTGTCAATGTGAAGCAACCCATGAAATTTGTGACCGAACGACATCCATTTGCGGTGGTCGAGGTGATTGGAGTTAACAACGTTAGAGAGATAACGACAGAATGACCAAAAAATTTTCATTGTATAAAGTTTAGTGAGCAAATTAGAAAAATTAAAAGTACAGTGAACAAAATATGAGAGAGAGTAAAGTACAGTAAGGAACAATGTACTTTACCCTTATTCTAAATATTTATAAACTTTTCTTATCATTATCTATCATATCATTAGTATATGTAAAACCTCTTTAAAATTATAAAATTAAACACACACAAAAATAATTTGTTTTACAATAACTTTCTCTCCAATTTTATTAAAAGAAATTATTTCAGACAATTGCCTAACTTCGAGAAGGTTGTAAGAACACCACTTTCTTCCACGTTCGTGCCAATGGTAGAAAAAGGAAAAATTAGATTGGTAGTCTTGAGAATGAGAGGGAGTCTGGTGTGAACAACCTGAAGACATCTTTGGCATTGCACAATAATATTTCTCCTTTCTTTTTCAGTCTTCAAGAGTGGAACAAGAGGTTGCAGTTCTTCAAGTCATAGATAGATGTGTTACTCAAGAAGACAACATCTTGCTAAACCGAAGCTTCTCTGCAGATGAAGTCCTCCTCACCTTTTCCCAAGTTAACCCCTCCAAAGCCTTAGGTATTGATGGTATGTTTGGTTCTTCTATTATTTTTTATGGAACATTGTTGGTGATGATTTTGTAAACCTGTATCTTAGTCTGCTTAATGGTCGGACTAATTTTGAATATGTTAATCGTATTATTATTTTACTTGTTCCCAAAATCAACAGTCCAAAAGTAATGAAATTTTTTAAACTGATTAGCCTTTGCACGGTTATCTATAAAGTAGTGTCAAAAGTTATTGTTAATATGCTTAAATCTATAATTCTCATTTGTATTACTAATAATCAATATGCCTTTGTCCCAAGTAGGAGAATTTATCATAATTTCATTGTTGCTCATGAATTTGTTCACTGCCTTAAAAGTTTTAAGAATGGTCCTAACAAGGGCGTTGCTATTAAACTTCATATAGAAAAAGCTTATGACAGAGTTGAATGAGAATTTTTGATTTGAGTAATGAAACAAATGGGTTTTGATGTAGCTTTGTTAATCTTATTTGGAATTGCATAAGTATCATTTCCTTTCATGTGCGCATTAATAGGTCCCTCTCGGACGTGTTCCTCTCAGAGAGGGGACTCCGACAAGGAGATACACTCTCCCCATACTTGTTCCTTTTTTGTGTGCATGACCTCTCCGCACTCTTTTTGATTGCTTAAAGTAGAGGGGAGATTCGGGGTGTACGAGCTAGCATAAGAAGACCCAATATAACCCACCTTTTATATGTCGATGACATCATTCTTTTTGTTAAGAACTTTATTGTTGAAGTCTGTCGGGTTATAGACATTCTCACTCGGTATGAGTGCTTATTAGGACAAAAAGTTAACTATGAGAAGTCTAGCATATTTTTCAACCCTAACACTCATTCAAGCGATCGTAGAGCTAACATGGACACTCTTGGGATGGTGAAGAAGGAGGAGTCAGAGAACTATTTAGGTCTCCCTCTCTCGGTTGGCAAAGGAAAGATTGCCACCTTCAACTTTATTAAGGATCGAACGGCCAAAAGTATCTAAGGGTGGACAAAACGACTATTGTCCTTTTGAGGTAGGGAAGTGTTCATCAAATATGTGGCACAAGCCCTCCCGACTTATATTGTGTCTTGATATCTCCTTTTTTAGGGCATCCTCGAGGATTTGACCTCTCAATCTTGTTCATTCTAGTTGTTCGGGAAACATGATTCAAGAGGTTGGATTGTGATAGCTTGAGAAAAAGTCTGTAGAGCTAAAAAGCATGGCCGTATAGGCTTCCAGGACCTCATATTTTTTAACAGCGTTTATCGGGAACCAAGTTTGGAGACTGATTCAATATGAATACTTTTTGGCTTTTCGAGTTCTGAAGGCGAAGTATTTCTTGCACTCTTTTTTCCTCGATACTAGTGTTCGCGTGTTGTGAGTACTATAAAATTATACGCAAATAATGTGCAAGTATACATAATCGCTCAAGTAATAAAGTGATGAGTGAGTATCGTCTCCAAGGAGATTGGGTAAAATTACAAAAGTCTAACCAAAGCAAAACACTAATCTATCTATGTATAGTTAGTGTTGATATATACAATGTCACGGTATGGAAATGTGTATGCTGGTGGATATGGATTGATGGTCTGATGGTGTAGCAAATGGAAATGCAATGGCAAGATCAGATGTTTAGTGTTGAAAATGATGAAATATCAAGGCAATGAAAATGGTAAAAACAATAAATAAAATAGCAAATAAAAGATAAGTAGATAATCCTCAAACAACAAGCTTCCACTAGAATGAATGGTAGGGATACTAAACTTATCTCTCAAGTAGATTTAAGCTATCTAATATTTACTTACTCGACATAATCTTCTGAAAATGTTCCCGCTATCTCTAGTCAAAGGAACCTAACAGAATAGGATGCCATGACATCTGCTCTCACTCAACGATGATGGCAGCCCACACTATTGATAAAAACACCCTTTTTAGTCGTTGAAATCCTATTATAGTCTCTCTCGAGTACTAAGGGATTAGGATATAGTATTCCTAGGCCGGTTCAAAGCCCCTTGAAAATACTATAACCCATTGCTTATGAGGATCTTGTCTTGTGTTTCTCTCGAATACTACAAGTATTTTTAGCTTAGGTTTCTCTCGAACACCTAACCTTCATCTAAGAAATGGACACTCTCATGCCTCTTACAAGCCTAGATGGTGAAGTATTCATAAGCAAAGCAAACAAATACCAAAGATAAACATAAATCCACCATTAAAAATAAAGTTTAAACAACCATTAAAACAACTACCACCAAATAAGTTAGTTCATGGTGGGGTTTGAAATATCCATAGAACAAGCCATAAAATATTCGTTCCAACAACCCAATAACAATATAAAAATAACAGTAAAGGGAAGTGAGAAAAAGCTTTCGACGAGCGCCACCGGATTTCTCCTCGGCCACCACGAACCACCTTAGCTCGCTAGCTCCTCTTAGACGTCTAGCTCGCCACTCATTGGTGCTTTATCAATGGAGGAACACCCAAGGAAGCATAAAGGAAAAAGAAAATAAAAATGAGATTTTCTGCTCTGTCCTATGGGTATGCGTCCCTCTCCTTCTCTCCCTTGTGAGGTGTCATATATAATAAAAATATCTAGGAGTAATGATGAGGTTGTTAGGTGATGTGGGGTGCAAAATACCCCTTAAATCACACCATATGCTTGAACATTATCTTCCAGGTTGCAGTGGTCCTTTGGCAGGTGGTTACAACTATCATTTCACGTGCAGAGGCAGCTGTCCTCGTACAACTGTATCTTTTTGTCATTTTCTGCACCAGAAATGCCAAGGCATTTCAATCTACTTCAGTAACATGTGATGCCGTGAAATTACTTCCCAAATAGACCCTTTTGCTTGCTATTCCCTGCACACCACAAACAACTGCACCTTTCTTTCATACAACACCTTCAATAGATAAAATAGCAATATCATCACAAATGCAACTATATGTAACTACATAACTTAAAATGAGCTTTTAAACAAACAATAACTTAAGTGAAAAGGCCTTAAAAGTAACTTTTTTAGGGAGTTATCAACTGGGAATGGGGACATAGCCTCTTACGCTTGGTTGAGTATTCACAAAGTAACATAGACCCTCAAAGAAG